TATTACACAATATGGTTTGTAACTTGTATAAAGCAAGGTTAATGATAAGTTAGCTTTGTAAACAAATAACCTAAGTTGATTTCTTGTTTTTGATTGAATAATTTCTGGTAGTGTAGCCCCCTTTCAGCTGTCTTCCTCCTGGCGATGAGTTCTGCTTATCAACGGTCACATAGGAAATACAATACAAAAAGGATACAATGAAGATGAGGATGTGCCGCGACTCAACAAAGGAAAAGCGGGCGGGGCAGCGTTTCGAACGCAAGCACATATCTACATATGTATGCATGTACATACATATCTGTTACGCACAGAGCGTGTGCGGCGTTAACGCGATAAACGTAAATCAATAAACGCACAGAACGGAAATTATCAACACCTGTAAAAGATAATTGACGCGAAATTAAATTATTTGTTGCCACAGCATGTGGCAATTATTTCGATTTTATAAAAAAAAAAAACATGTGAATCTTTTTATTTAAGTTTAAATTTATTTTTTGATAACTTTAAGCTGCCTTTGTGCTTATATTTATAACATCCTAAGCGTAGAAGATTTTGTCGAACATGTGTATTATAGGTATATTAATTTAATATTTGTATATGCTAATTTTTTAAGTAAGTCCATAGTTTTTCAAGTATCATAACTAAACTAAAAATGCATTAATTTCAATTCGGAAACCATTTCAGTGCTAGTTTTTATAGGACTAACCAATCTGCATTTAAATTTTTTAAATATAAAAAATTCAGATTTTGAAAATTTTAACGATGTAACCCCTTATAAAATTTTCAAATTTCGAAAAAATTTCAAAAAATCTTTTTCGACCGGACATGGCTAGAACGACTGGGCTGTTGATGCTGATCAAGAATATATGTGATTTATAGAATCGGAAATAACTCCTTCATTACGTTTCAAGCTTTTGACTGAAATTATAGGAGGTGATATACATTGGTTCCTAACAATGCTGATTTCGTTTCTCTTGTGGTTTAAAAATAAAAAAGTCTTTCCTAACAAAGTCTTACATTAATGTTGAATATGCTCGTGTCAACATGCGGAACAGGATCTTCTGATTCCTTAGCTTAGTAGAAGATGAGCCCGGGTATCGTTGTTACTGTTCTTATTTGAGCAAAAATGGTTACAAGGACAACCCGATTATGAGAATATCTATAAACGACTGAGTGGGTTGGGCTGGGTCTGCTAACATTTGACCTTACTGGGCTCACAATCAGCTTGGGTTACGGGTATGACGGCGAGGATGAGGATGTGCCAGGAGGATGAACAGACAAAGCGTTGACAATGCCCTAAACAAAAGAAACACAAAACAGACGAGCAGATAATGGACGTGACGATAGTGGGAAGGAACTGCGGGGGAACCGCGAGCAATGGCAAAATGTATTTACATAGCTTATATGGTCGGGATAAGCTCCATTGTTTTATGCATGCAAACAAAAACAATCCGAGGGTTTGCGGACAAGCATTCAAGGAACTCGAGCGTTGCTATACGGTTGCATTTGCCTGGACTCCTCAGCAAAGCGCTTTTCCAGGTTATAGCTTAGCTTTCAGTGATGGAATTTCAAAGAGGAAAATTCTTAAAATTAAAGAATAATTGTTGCTATTTAATATATATTTAATTGTACCCTCCAATTATAATTATTTTACTAATCAATTCATTTCAAGCTCAAATAAAACTCATTAAAATTGTATTTTATCTTGTTGTCAAGCTAAGATAATTTCACCATCCCACAATCTAAGAGCCCAAGCTTTCACCTCTTAAAAACTATAATACTTTCGACAATTTCCCTGATCGTTTTTAAATAATTTTAATTTGTTGGTTCGCTTTTCTTTCGTTGGACTAATACAAAATGAACTGCTTCTTGATCGCTTCACATAAAATTCAACTAAATTATAAGTTACAGAACTAACATTAGGATGCGGGGGCAGATGGTGCAATCGAGGAGCCTTAGCCCCACTACAGCTCCGTATGGGCGTAATCGTCATGTGTGCTCTTCTCTTTAGGCACGATAAACAGACCTTCCGCCGTGGTCCAGCGTGTACCGTGTTGCGGCTTGTGAACGCCCACAATTTCCATTTGGCCGGAGATGGGTCTGCCATAGGAGCGGCCCGACATGGCCAAGTACAGGCCTGTATCGATGTGGCGCAGTCGAACATGGGCATCCCGCATCCAACTGACGTTAGAGCACACCACTTCCCAATGGTCACCAGTATCACCGTGGCCGTCAGTGCCATAGGCAGACACCTCCTGTTCGCCGGAGAGCGGCGAGGAAAAGTGATGCGAATGCAGGTTCTTCTTGGTGGTCAGGTGCTCCAGTCGCACGGTTGAACCGCAGGCAATGGGCTCTCCTCGCTCACACTGCTCGCCGGTCTGAGCCTTGACAACCCAGTGGCTGTTCACATCTTCTTTCTGCTCCACGCCCGTCACGGACTGCTGGCCGGATCCAGAACCGTACTTGACATCGTGTGAATGCAGGCGGAAGGCATAGTCAGAGTTCAGGAGCTTCAGAATGGAGCCGCAGGTCACAACGTTGGTTTGCGTAGCTGACGCCGGCGTATAAAAGATGGTAAACCGAGATTAACACCAATACTTAACATTTACAAGTCTCAAAGAGCGGCGTGGCCAATCACAGAAGACCACATAGGCGCGTCTCTTCCTGGACTCCAACTTACCGGCACCGCTGGAAATGCTGCTAACAAGTGCCAACCCGGCCAGGAGTAGCGAGTGCTGCATGGCGTCCTGTGTGGTTAATATATCCGTGTATTCAGAGCTTAAGTGAGTCTATAAGTGCCGGTTATCTGAGTTTAATTCAGTGCATTGAACACGCAAACAAATGGTTTTTGTGACAGCTCAGTAGACGGGTTCCAGTGTGACCGAAGGCTGGGAATTTTGAAAAATAAATACCAAAAATGTACTATTGGGAATGAGAATCTTCTTTATTTAATTTATTTTTAATTTAATTTATTTAACATATGCATACATCTGTAACAGGATAAATTGAATATAATTTGTGCAGCCATTTATTTTAAAAATACAATTTCGCACTTGTTTTTCTAATAATGTATTTAAATTTCCATTTTAATTTTATTAAACATAAATTAAAGGTCCATTAACTTTATATATAATTGTTTAAATATTTAAAATAATAAATAAAATGTTTTGGGTTGCGGTTAAAAATACCGAAGGGTTTCGATAAAAAATAATTAGTCGAGTTTCAAACCATGCACTTCGATATTTTCTCTAAAATTATCAAGTCCGGTCACACTGCGAATTCGCAAGTAATTTTCTCCAAGTAAAAGAGAAAAAAAAGTGAGGAAAATTGAAATCAAAGAAAAATTAATGGCACACAAGCGTCTGTTCATCTACGCTGTGCTACTGGCGATATGTTATTTGGTTGGCGTGACATGGGTAAGTCCCCAATTGGTCCAGATCACATGACTTGTCCCGCATTCTCCAATCTGTGTATTCTTTCTCCATTCCCGAAAATCAACAAAGGCTGAGACCGCTGCGCAGACACTGCCAGTGAGCAGCAATAACAATGCCAGCCAACTGAGTGCTCCACCCGCTGCCGCCAAGCCAGCTCCAGCCCCCGCGGCAACTGCTGCTAAGCAAACAGGTGCGAGTCCAGGGCCCACAGTGGCACCCCTACCCAAGGTCAATCCCCCGCCCGCAGTTCACAGTCAGAGTTCTTCCAATTCCAGCAGCACGGCGACACCATCGACTGAGTGGTAAATATGCTAACCTTTTATACATATTGACACAATTTCCACTTTACTTTTCTAAATATACCTCTCTTATAGCTTAATATATCATCGTGTAAGATATAGGCACGCAAAAGTTCCAGCATCCATATTAATATTCCAATTTCATGTCATTGCAGTGTCTGTGCTGGAGCCTTGCTGCCGCGTTTGGATGCCAATGGCAAGGAGCTGCCGATCTGCGCCGAGTGCAAGTGCTCCCATGTGGCGCGAAATACGACGCTGATCAAGGTTTGGCATAAATGTCCTGCTGGCGAAGATTTTAATTTTGGCTAACGAAACTCCTGCCCATTTCCAGGTCGTGGTCATCATTGTGATTTGGATCATCTCCATTTTAGTGATATACATGCTCTTCCTGATGTGCCTGGACCCGTTGCTGAACAAGCGAGTGAAGGCGAATTACCAGGAGCACACCAACGAAGATGTACATAGCAAGCATTCTAGATACTCGGGCATTCAATATAGCCTCCTAGTTACGGCCCTAGGCGACGATGAAAATGAAGAGGACGATATTGACGCCGATGCGGCGCAACTAGTTGGCAATAAAGAAGCACCGCACTTTTGAATAGACCTTATTGCCACAACACCCCCTTTGTTTCATTTTCCGTTGCGATTTCGTTTGAGTTTTAACCCACACCACACGCACATAGACCAACCAACAAGCTACTAACCAAAGACTCCCACTTTTCCTGGCCAAACCGACTAATTCCAAAATTTCTCCACCCATTTTCCAACCAGGACGAGCCGACGCCTCCTCTGCCAGCTGCCAACAACCAGGAGCTTAGTGCCAGGGCCAATGTCCTCAATCGCGTGGGCCACCAGCAGGACAAGTGGAAGCGGCAGGTGCGCGAACAGAGACGCCACATCTACGACCGGCACACCATGCTTAACTAAGCGGGGGATCGAATACCAGCTGAAGGATATAAAATAAAGGGAGAAGCATGGGCGACTTAAGACACGTATTCCAAACAGCAATCCATAAAGGAACTCATATTTTGGATCAAAATTAATGTATATTTAGCCACAATTATTATTATTTTAAATAAATCATTTAACCAAAGCAAATTGTTTAACTTTACTAGAATTTAAAGTCTTTCTGAATCAAATGCTGCCGATTTAAGCCCAATGCAAAGAAAATTTAAGGCGCTATTGTTTACATCCATATCCCCAGAGTAATTAGATCCCAGTATTTTGTATTTAGCCACATTTATTTTTAATAAATCATGTCACTAAATTATTCTTTAAGATGTAATTTTAATTCATACAAAAACCGAGGAGCCTGACCTAAAATACGTTCAACCAGCTTCATATCAGCTAATATCCCTTGATAGTGGCAGCAAACGTCCAGTTCTCGTTGACCTGGTAGGGTCCCTCCACTCCACATCCACTGGGGGTGCACACGCCCACAGTGTATGACGAGCTGTTACGGGTGTCGCGGTAATAAAGTACCTCCATGCACTTGCGGATCTGTAAAAGAATACAAATATATTACTTTCCTCTCAAAAAATGTCATTTTACTTTAGCCTTTAGATATTACATTAAAAAAAAAACTGATTCTTTAGAGCAAATGGCTACGTACCAATTGAGAGGCCTCGTCGGCTGTGAACTCCCTATCCTTTGGCTTGTTCTCGCGCACCAGCGGAACTGCCAGATGGCGGGCGAAGCCAGTGGCCACTACAAAGTCCTCGTAGGCACGGCCACGCAGATCAACGTTAGCCAGATATGGAGTGCCGTCCTGTTCAACTCCACCGACCACCACATCGATGTACAAGGGATTCATACGAGAACGTCGGTTGTACAGCACACGGGTCATCCAGCTGGCAAGGGACTTGGGCTTCATCTCAATATTGTCGTCGTAGCACTGATCCTCGATCATCTTTTGGTCGATGTTGCGTTTAATGTACTGGATATCAGCGAAGTCACCGCTGCCGCCCAACAGTATGTTCTTGTTAATCTTGAACACTCGGTCGATGTTTTGGTAGCGGGCTAGCGATCCGTAGGACACCAGAGTATCCGCGGCGAGCATGACTCCGCCGTCGTAGCGAATGCCCAGCACGGAGGAGCCCGTGGTGATGGCAGCTCTGTTTAAGATTAAGAGTGTTATAAAAGAATTAAATATTAAAGCTCTTATTCGTACGTGCTGCGCTTGGTTCCATAGGGTCCGGCGGTGGTCAATTCGCGAGGCAGCTTCTGGACCGTTTGTCCGCCAGTGAAGTTGTAGAACTCGCCGGGCGTGGGGCCGTTTTGCCACAAGGGCTGCGCCATTCCATTGTAATTGTTCAACATTGTAATTTATCAGTTGTAAACGTTTTCACAAAAATTAAATTGTTTGCCGGAGAATGACGGGCACAATTAATCGAAGTCAGTCAAGTGTGACCAGCGTGTATTCGGCCTCAAACATTGAAACTCGAGCGTCAACCACAAAAAATACCAGCTGTGTCATTTTACATGGTGTATTTTCACGTAAAAAAAGATCTTGCCACACTCTTCCTTTATTGTGACTTTTAACAGCTGACTTTTGTATTTATTTCCAATTGTGAAATTAACGGGATTTCATTGTATCTTTTAAAAATGCTGGAAGCTCGTTTAGGAGAAACTTTGCTGCTGAAGAAGATCGTGGAGGCGCTGAAGGAAATTATATCCCAAGGAACCCTGGACTGCAGCGATACTGGCTTTCAGGTGAAATGGAAAACCAATCGGTTGCGTATTGCAGAAATGTTTGTTAAATTTCAAAATAAGAAATTCATATAAAACATTCTGCATATTTAAACGCTTTTAAGCTAGGCAACTTTGTTATTTTCTACAAATTTCTACTTATTATAAGAATACCCTTGCAGAGTGTATAGTCTTTGCTTGCAGGGTATCAGATTTTAGTCAGAAGCTTGTAAACCGATGAATGATTAATTCCGACCCCATATAAATTCAAAAATTTGAATTTCTTCAAATTTAAATTTGAGTATGCAGATTTTTTAAGCTAATAAAAACTAACGTAGGAATGCTTTCCGAACTAAAATTATTGCTATTTTGACTTAAAGTTTGATTTCTTTAAAAACGTGCATTAAATAAAAAAATGAGATATTAGAAAATATTAGATATTTTTACCTCTAAAATTAAACACATTATCATTAAATGATTCTTCGCTTATAGCTACAATCCATGGACAATTCCCATGTGTCGCTCGTGGCGTTGTGCTTGCAAAGAGATTGCTTCGAGAAGTTTCGTTGCGATCGCAACGTCTCCCTGGGACTGGACCTCAAATCCCTGGCCAAGGTACTCAAGTGTGCCAACAGCGACGATAGGGTCACAATTAGCGCTTCCGACAGTCCTAGCAAGGTGCTCCTCAATTTCAATTCAAAAGAAAGTGAGCGGAGCGCGGAATATGAATTAAAATTACTCGATTTGGATGAAGATCATTTGGGCATTCCTGATACCGACTACACCTGCACCATCCAGATGCCTTCAACCGAGTTTGCCCACATCTGCCGGGACATGAGCATGTTCAGCGAGTCGGTGACGATAGAGTGTTCCAAGCAAGGCGTTAAATTCTCTGCAAGCGGCGACTTGGGATCAGCCAATATAAAACTGAGTGAAGGTGGCAAAATGAATGTGAACATCCAGGTGGAGGATCAACTTGTCCAGACCTTCGCCGGCCGCTATCTAAATACCTTCACAAAGGCCACACCACTTGCGGAGCGCGTGAAGATTTGCTTATCTGCGGAGGTGCCGCTGCTGGTGGAGTACCCCATCGAGGATTTTGGATACATTCGTTACTACCTTGCGCCGAAGGTGGACGATGCTGACGTGTAATATATCTCTTAATTGTAATGTTTATAGGATTTTTGTGTTAATATTTACATTAGTACCTTTGGTACGCATTAGTTATTTATCTGTTTTGTCTTTTCTATTGGATACTTAATTTAAATCTATTTAAAATAGAAAATATTCAATTGAAAACATATAGACACTCTTTATTTCCGGTATACCAGTACACAATATATATAATATAGGTATGTATGTATATTTTTATGCGAATAATGCACGCCTACCGAGAGGAATGTTCCGGTTTGCCTTGCGCATCTTGCAGATGCCATAATACAGTCGATAATATCAGTTGCTTGATTGAGCTAAGCTAAAAACAATGACGGGGAGACCCGATCTTTAACACGATACGAATACGAATACGAATAAGGATACCCTATGCAAGACTACGAGCTATTTGTCACGGCCAATGGTTGATGCTTCTTAATTCTACGGGTTTAAAGCTTCTAATCCTTACAGCAGCAGTACACATTGTCGCTGGAGCTGGCTGGGGTTGAGGGCGTGGTGCCGTTTTTGAGGGGCTTGCTGTAGGAATGAGGTCCTCGCATGAATACCTCAATTAGTTGACAGTGCGATCTGCAAAAATATGGGTTGTTCATGGAATATTTTAAGCACACTCAAGTGGATCGAGTAACTCACCTCATGGTTATGTCCAGGTCAGTGACTACCTCGCCATCACAGTTCCAGCTGGAAAACTCCGTGGAAGTGGATGAGACGCCCATCTCTCCAGGCGGAGAAATGGGCTGGCAAGAGCCTGCCAGGCTGTAGTCTTCATCGCCAGCCGCGGCCAGTGTTCTGAACTGAAACTTCCTGGTGCGATACACCTCAACAAACGGCAGATTGCGCTATAAAAATGAATAATTACAGTAACAGTAATTAATTTTATCGTTAATAAGTTTGCTTTTGTATAACTAAAGGTGTCAAATAATGTTATTTAATGCAGTCGTGCTCAGTACTCAGTAAAAAACTTACTATATCACCGCTCCTGCCAGCCGTGTTTAGCAGAAAGCGCACATTGTTGAGCAACGAAGTCTTCTTGACCAGAATTAGGTCCAGGCAGCCATCACCCAAGTGACTATATCGGGAGATGCCATTGGGACTCCTGGCACAGGCGCAGGTAATGTTTGCTCCGCAGATCATGAAAAAGTTGCCTCGCACCACTTTCCACTGCTCGTTTGCGAGGTTCCTCATTGATGAAATGGAACCAGTGGGTAGCTGAAGGTTTCCAGGACGAGGACGAGGTCTCAGTAGGGCAGACTCATTAGGAGTTAAATGGGAATCCTCTGGCTCCGGCTCCTCCCTCAAACTTCGCTGCGAATTCCTGGACTCCTCTTGGATAAGCATAGAAGACTGCTGCTCCTGGATGCTGCTTGCAAAGCTGCAGCGTTGACAATTAGCATAGCAGACGGAGGGCAGCGACTCGCCCAGAGAGCACACGCTGTCAGGACTCTGCGGTACCTCTTCCATGGGTGTAGTTAGCAGGAGATCTGGTTCTTCCAGAAGCCTCAACTCCGCCTCGTAGCCCCGATTGTTTAGGAAGGCCTTGACACCACTGTACTCATACCTTCTTGGTCCCATCCAGCGATAGTTCTCACTCTGGGCAGCCACATCACCTAGGTATCCGTAGCTTAGGACACTGGCACAAAACCGCAGCAGGGATTGCCCATTGCTTACACTGCACACATCCAGACCGCGATGCTGGCCCAGAATCACATGAATTGCGGCTGTCCTTACATCCGCCGTGCCATGCATGCTGTAAGCAATGGTATCTGTACTGCCGGCTGGAATCACACCCACGGGCAAGGCGGGTCTTGGAATGTATGGTGGCCGCTGCTCGTCCAGTCCCAGCTCCCTCATTCGCCGGAAGAGCAGCCCGTTGATCACCTCCGCCACGGTGCCATCGCCACCGACACAGCAAACAGCATCATACACTCCCAGATCGTGGGTAAGTAGTATATCTCTTACTTGGTTCGCTCTCTGGGTGGTGATACAGGTGGCATCCACACCAGCGAGTTGGAAAATGGGTCTCACATGCCGTTCGTAGGTTTGGGCGCCTGCCTTGCGACCGCCATATGGATTGATGAAGACCAGAAGACGGCGCACCCGCATCCTTGTAGGCGAAGAGCTGTGCAACCGGATCTGCAGTTCCTGATCCCACTGCCTTACTATATAAGGATCCGAGTTGAAGAAGGTCAGCCGCCTCAGCTCCCAACGATTGCAGTCCGTTTGAGATTTACTCAACCTCAAGGCATAGTTAATGGTCAGGTACTGACTGGTGGGCTTCGCCGGCATAACCTCGCCGCTGCTGTTGGAACTGCGATTCGAAGTTGGAGGTGGTGGAGGCTTAAGGGAAGCTACCTTGGTGTCGCCGCTCCTCACACTAATAACGTCATCGAGGTGAAGGACATGGCTTTGTGGACCATACAAGCAGGCACCTCCGGGCTGAGAGGGTGAGTCTGCTGGCAGCGGTGCCTTGGTCTCGCTTTTCGAAGACGGCTGCTTCAGCTTCTGCAGGCGCTCCCACACCAACTGCTGGCCATGGAGCAGGACCCGGTAGCTCTTCTTCTTTAACTGGAAATTATTCAGTAAGACATCGTGGGCGGAGGCGGAACAGGGATTGAATTTCGAGTCCCCCGAGGAGCCGATGAAGTCGGAGGCCGAGGTGGACGACCCTCCTGCTGGTTGCTTGGTCTGCGTCATCTCGACTGGCCGTCGTCTCCGTCTCCGGCAACGTCGTCGGCTTTGTCGGCACTGCGAAAAGAAAACAGGTTTTCATTAGAAATACAGTGGAACGTTAATAAGTCAAACTCCATGATGCATTAAGTTACTAAGAGCTTCGAGTCGAAGCTGTTAATGACTAATTAATTTTACATTTTAGATAATTATATGAATTCATGAAATATCCTTTTACTAAGCAGCAAAGGATTGGAATCACAAATTGCATTTAAATTGAATTAGTTTTTGATACTTATTTAAATTTTGATTTAATTTTGACTATGCCGAAATTATTATGACTATGAAATTTAACGCCATGACTAAAGTATTAAGAAACATTATTATTGCAAATAATTATAAACTATATATCGAACTGAGCAATAGGATTAAGGGGTTTAGTTACAGGATTTAAACACAAAGTTGTCTTTAGCGATGCTTGACTCTCTTTGTAATCACAAAACAAGAGGGCAAGAGTGGGAGAAGATTCGGAGTATGGGAATGGTAGTTACTCCTCGAAATAAATCTGAGTTACGACGCTCCATTCTCTTTCCGTCTGATGTTCCACCTTTGTGACTTGGCATCTTGCGTCAGCTTTTCGACTCTTAATTGTTGTAATGAGAGGTGTCGATAGGGCAAAAGGGACGGTAATGGGGCAAAGGCGACTCAATTACATTTTCGGTGGCATTTTCAAAGTTCGGTCAACAAATGTCGGTGTCATTAGCATGAGCACGTTAATTTTTCAATGAAAACTCGATAACTGAAAATATATACTATTTATGCCTAATGGTGAATATAGGTATGGTTCATTGATCATAAAGTCATTTGTAACGCCATAAACAATCGCAATAATGGGGGTTCAAGACCAATTATTCTTTATAGATACCACACTTTGATAATAATAGAAAGGAATAATAATTCGAGGCATTACTCTTACCAGAGTACCCTACTATTTAAACATTACAATAATAAGTAGAACTTTAGGTACGTATGTAGGTGGATGAAAAAAATTTAAAATATGACAATTTAAATAACTTTACTAACTTTTGTTTCTAAGTTTCTAATGACTCATAGGTCCCCTTAAAATTATCGCAATGTAGTTTAATTCCTGGTAATTGCGACAGGCCGAAGCCCACCATGAACATGTGCTGCATTATCAGCTGCCAGTTAATTATACATATAAATTCTATAAACGTGTAATAAATCAATTTTAAAAAAAGCTTTCAGGGGTTGGTTATTTTAAAAATAACTTGTTCAATTGAAATAGAAAGTATAATAATTAAAGTAAAACAATTAACTTCAATAACAAGAAGGAGAGGCCAAAGTTTATAAACCCTTGCAGTTTGCAATTAAGTCTGAAATTGGTTAAAACTAAGCATAATATATTTAGAAATATTTTTATATGACAATTTTTTTTCTAAAAATCATAGTTTAAAAATCTCAAAACTAAACCAAAAATGCATTAATTTCAATTTGGAAAGCGTTGCTATGTTAGTTTTTAAGCTGCTGACTAAACTTATAATACCCTGTAGGGTATAAAAGTGGCTTTGGTTCCTAAAGTCCTCAGTCACCATGAAAAATCGCACAGTATCATTATCATAAATAATTTTTCTTTATTCAGTTACTACCTCCAATATGTCTACGACCCCTGAGGCGTCATTGTACCTATTTTATAGAACTAATTGACGCGTTGCTTCGAAGCTTATCAGTGGCAACAATTGCACATTCTCGGAAGTTGCTCGACCAAGTTGAAGCTTATATACATTACGCGATACGTGTTCATAGCTCACTGAGCTGAACACCCGCTGAAAGCTGCGCAAATGTGCAAAAAACTGGTTTAAATTGTAGGCCAAGTAATGGGAAGGGAAATCAACAAAATACAATGCAGGAGGACAAGCCGAAATGAGTTGAGTGAACTCTTGATTGCAGTTTACGAGGTTGGAGAAGAAAAATAGCTGTCAGTCATCCCCAATTTCACAGCCCATGAAACTATAAAAATACTTCTTCTGAAATACTTCAAAGAATTCACGACTGCAGCAGACAATTAAACTAAAAGCTAGCCTGATTCATAGCTCATTTAACCAGAACCAAACAGGTTCTCCTCAATTCACTTCACGTTTAGAACGTAAACTTTATGATTTCTTATTTACTAACAATAAACAATCGTTTTGAACATTTTGCGAGAGAATGTGAACAAATAAAATCTTGAATGAGCATCTTATAGACAGATGTGGGGATGAAATAATATCATTATAGAGAACAGTTTTTTTTAGAATTTGTATTCAGACTCTTGGCATAAAGCAATTGTAGTTACCAACCTTTACTGCTAAAAAAATACTCGAAATAATATCTTTATATTAGGTGACTCAAGCCTGAGAGCTTACTTTTTTATTACAAGCGACAAACTGGGGAATCACCAACCCTTGCTTAAAGTAATATAACTTTAACCGCAACTGTGAGTTCTTGAAACTACACCGCTAACAATGAATCGTCATATTTCACGTTTTGGGAGATCTAAGCCAACGTCTGTCCAAACATGGCTGAAAACAAAATATGCAAATAAATAGAGAATAGAGTGATATTCCGTGTTTAGTTAGGCGAGTAGCAAAAACATACTGTGCTGTTGCTAATTGGAGAGTCGCACACATGTGAATGCCTGAAGGCAGAACTCACGCTAACAAAGCCCGTTTCATGGGGCGTATGAGCAACGCAACACAGCGCAACAAAACGCTCAAGGTTAACAACGAACGACGGCACCCAAAAAGCCGCAAAAAATCGGTTTTAGAATCGACCCAGACACGGAGACAAAAAGTGGACCGGAGAAGCTGTGCTCGAGTCGGAAAACGAGTTCTCCCCGCTCGAGTGGCGTGCAGCCGGCGACCTTCGCCTTGAATCGCTCGAGTAATCTTGGCCGGACTGCAATAACCGGCTTCTGGTTATTAGGAGTCATTAAAACAAGCTTGGACCTTGTCCACATTTGCATCTCAGTTGCAGGTTTTTGTATGTGTATGGCTTAAAGTCGCATTTCCTGACACTCGATCTTGACATTGCCCAGTGAGGAGGCTTATTCTGATGGGGTTTTTAACTTGCCAGCCTGTTAATGGCAAAGCAAATATTAAATACACATTTTTATTTTGTTTATAGGTACGAAAAGCCACTGGTATATTATATATGTGAGCCTCAAGTAAGCTTTGACATTGACAATTATTGCACTAAGCTATAAAATGTTCCTTTTAAAAGCGTGATTATAAGTTGTTTTTTTGTAATTATTTTGCTTTCCCATGACGGGCTATTAAAACTGCAATCAAGATTTAACTTCTATCATAAATAATAAAATAGACTTACTGTATATTTCTGGTTTAGAAATTCTATAAGTTTTGGCATTTTTTTTTTTTTTGACATGTTTAACATTTATTACACACTTTCTGGGTATTATAATTTTAGTCAGAAACTTGTAAGGATGTGAATGAGCTATTTCCGACCCCATAAATCATATATATTCTAGATCAGAATGAACAGAATATAAAAATACATTTTTCAAATATATCGGTTTTTATGGGGATTCGGAAATGATTCCTTCATTGTGTTATAAGCTGCTGATTAATACTAATACCCAGCAAAAAGGTATAAAAACAGGCAATTTTTTCGAATAATCAGTGTTTCTCAAACGTCATAATTAAGCCAGAAATGCATCAATTTCAATTCGGAAAGCTGTTTTATGTTAGTTTTAATAGCGCTAACAAATCTGCATACTGCGTTTGTTGATGCTGTTAAACGATTCTGACTAAAATTATAATAACCGGCAAATAGGTATAAAAACAGGCAATTTTAAAAATTAATCAGTGTGTTTCAAACATCATAGTTATGCCAAAAATTAGTTTATTTCAATTCGGAAAGCTTTTCTGTGCTAATTTTTAAAGCGCTAACAAATCTGCATACTGCGTTTTAAGATTTAATAAATTCAATTTTTTGTCGAATTTTGCCAATTTTAATGATGTAACCCCTTATAAAAATTTCAATTTTTGAAAAAAACTCAAAAATGTATTTTTACATTAGACATGGCTAGATCGATTCAGCTCTTCATTCTGATCAAGAATATATATGATTTATAGGGTCGGAAATGATTCCTTCATTGTGTTATAAGCTGCTGATTAATACTAATACCCAGCAAAAAGGTATAAAAACAGGCAATTTTTTCGAATAATCAGAGTTTCTCAAACGTCATAATTAAGCCAGAAATGCATCAATTTCAATTCGGAAAGCTGTTTTATGTTAGTTTTAATAGCGCTAACAAATCTGCATACTGCGGTTGTTGATGCTGTTAAACGATTCTGACTAAAATTATAATAACCTGCAAATAGGTATAAAAACAGGCAATTTTTGTAATTAATCTGTGTTTTTCAAACATCATAGTTATGCCAAAAATGAGTTTATTTCAATTCGGAAAGCTGTTCTGTGCTAATTTTTAAAGCGCTAACAAATCTGCATACTGCGTTTTAAGATTTAATAAATTCAATTTTTTGTCGAATTTTGCCAATTTTAATGATGTGACCCCTTATAAAAATTTCAATTTTTGAAAAAAACTCAAAAATGTATTTTTACATTAGACATGGCTAGATCGATTCAGCTCTTCATTCTGATCAAGAATATATATGATTTATAGGGTCGGAAATGATTCCTTCATTGTGTTATAAGCTGCTGATTAATACTAATACCCAGCAAAAAAGGTATAAAAACAGGCAATTTTTTCGAATAATCAGAGTTTCTCAAACGTCATAATTAAGCCAGAAATGCATCAATTTCAATTCGGAAAGCTGTTTTATGTTAGTTTTAATAGCGCTAACAAATCTGCATACTGCGTTTGTTGATGCTGTTAAACGATTCTGACTAAAATTATAATAACCTGCAAATAGGTATAAAAACAGGCAATTTTTAAAATTAATCAGTGTGTTTCAATCATCATAGTTATGCCAAAAATGAGTTTATTTCAATTCGGAAAGCTGTTCTGTGCTAATTTTTAAAGCGCTAACAAATCTGCA